TATTAATATTAGTGATTGCAATATTATTGATATTAATATTAGTGATTGCAATATTATTGATATTAATATTAGTGATTGCAATATTATTGATATTAATATTAGTGATTGCAATATTAGTAGTATTAATATTAGTGATTGCAATATTAGTAGTATTAATATTAGTGATTGCAATATCAATAGTATTAATATTAGTGATTGCAATATTAGTAGTATTAATGTTACTGCAATATCACTAGTATTAATATTGGAAATTGCAATATTAGTAATAATAATATTACTGCAATATCACTACTATTAATATGTAGCATAAAATGATTGCAACGTTAATAGTATTACACTAACCACAACATCGCCAGCATTAATACCAGTGATTGCAATATCCCTGATATTAATATTACTAACATCACCGATATTAATATCAGTGATTCCAATATTACCACTAATATCAATAATTGCAATATCAATATTCATCTAATCCGAGAGCATTTCAAACAAGTTTTCTCCTTCCCGACAACCTAGAAATGCTGTATAATTCTTCTGCTATTACTCCGAGTCACTAAACGCCATATTAATGAATCCGTGTCTCCAGCAGCCATCGCGGCAAAAAATAATTAACATCTCCTCAGCGACCCCCTCGATTCCACGGTGTCTCGGTCTTTAACCCTTCCCGATCCGTCTATTCCTTATTCTGTCAGCTCTCACCCTCCGCCGTGACGCGTCGTCCTGTTCTCATTTGCTTCCAGGACAAATAATTTCCGGTCCCCAGGACTTTCACTCCGTCTCCGTGCGGACTCGTGTCCGCGATCGAACTTCTTATCGTCGTATCGAGATAAGATTGCCGTTCAAAGAATATCTCGCTTCCTTTCTTCGCCGGGAATATTACGAGCCGCGGCGAAAAGAAGAGGAGAAAAGGAAAAGACGAGGACGAGAAATACGCGCGCGCGAACCTGCGCGTCGCTCGCGAGACCGTCCGTTTCTTCGTTTCGATTGGAAAATACCGATCCGCGACACGATACCGGTCGCGTCTATTCGATCGGACGGATAATTAACGAATATCCCTCCCCTCGCGAACAGAGATCGCTTTATAATTGATTCGCGGATCGGAGTGAGTCATTAACTCGAAGAGCAAACCGGAGCAAATGAATTTGTCCCTCGTATTTCTATCTCGTCATCTTTCATCGTTCCTTTATCCTCCGCCGTTCGTTTCTCTTCGCTCGATCTAACCTGCCAATGAGACCTCTCCGCTCGCTGCGAGTTTTCTTCGACTTTCGTACCATCTATTTTCATGCCGGAGACGCTCGTAAACGTCGCCTTTTACGAGCTCAACGTTCCCCCATCTTTTATATCCCGTATAATGTTATATATTATGTAATCTTTTCTAGAAAAACGGTGTAGCCGCTCGCCGTTCCGTTTTCAATTTCAAAGACTGCAAATTGAATCTCAAAGAAACCGGTAAGAGCGGCGCGGCGCGAGGAGGATCGGCTCGAGCGGATGCCGGCCGTACGGTTTCTCGCATCGCTGAACGATAGTAATAATTTTAATTACCGTTATTGAATGCCTGTCGAGAAGGAAGCTCGAATTGCCGCGCTCGAGCCGGGGCAGCGTTTAATCGAAAGTGATTCAGTGATTCCGCTCGGGCGAGCGTGTTTCCACGATCGGGATTTGTCCTTTCAGAAACGAAATCGGACGTGGCTGATTATATCGCGGCGTACTCGCGCGATAACCATCGCGCGAGTTTTATCGATTATTCAGCGGCGAGACGGTAATGCGGATTACGAGACCTCTGCGAATAGTTCGCGAATTTCAATGACGCTTCTGCGATGATGATTGTTAGCTTTCAATTAAACACGGAGTATGATGTCCGGAATTAATGACAGCGATTTTCGCGTAATTTAGGAATCCTTGACGACAGGCTCACAGATTGCATTTTCGATTCAATTTATTTATTATTCAACAGACTTTCAAGTTTCCAGTGCAAATAGAAACACTTTCATACGCAAAAGATCATCTACTTTCATAAAATACGTCACTGAAGTTAAAGTATTCATTTACTTTAGTACTACGTACATGAAAACTACTTTTACGTTTCATACAATGTGTTAATTAGTCGAAGATTAATAAGTGAAGAGTTTCCACTGCAAATAGAAACACTTTCATACGCAAAAGATCATCTACTTTCAGAAAATATGTGAACGAAGTTAAAGTATTCATTTACCTTAGTACTACGAACATGAAAACTACTTTTACTTTTCATACACTGTGTTAATTAGTCGAAGATTAATAAGAAACGAACGGAATTTATTGAAAATCATACCGATGATTACTAAATTAACTGGTTGACTGCAATGGCTCCGTGGTTTGGGGTTGCTTGGAAATATGTGACGTGAAATGAAGATAATTACTGGCATAAATAGTAAGATAACGTGAGAACTGTGACACCGAGTCGTATAATGATTTCCACCAACTTTCATCTCTGCTGTGAAAAGGTAATATACGAAGGCCTTATGCTTCTAACGGTCACGTGTTATCCTCTCCGAGAGAACGCGTCGTCGGACATTCAAATTAGAGTCGTTGAGTTTTAAATTACTTTATAAATCGTATTTAGCCCCGTCGCGTGCGTAACGGAAACGTTCGCAGAAAAATCCGAGGAAAGTTCCGACGACCTCCGCCGGCGGAATCCAACGGTACAGAAAATCAGCAGCCGGCTCGCGCTGTCCTCCCGTTAAGGTGCTAAATTGATGAATGAGTCGCGAAAACGAGAAACATTTCACTGTATCACGCCGAGCCGCGGCTAATAGAACTTGTCCAACTTGATTATTCGAGCTCGAAGATGCGCGAGCTTAATGGCCGCCGGCCAAGTTCCGGGCACGGCCGTTTCGGTGACTGATGTTGGCCGGGTAATTCGAAAAATCCCTGAAGGACCGACCCTTTCCGTCGCGTTTAAGGAGAACTTCGAGAATCGTTCGTCGAGAGAAAATAGAAATATATAATTCGTCGCGAGCGGAAAACGATACAGGCAAACACGGGTGAAAAAGAAGATGTGGCTCTAAGGCGGTGGCTCGTCGGTTTCGTCCACCCTCCGCCATTAAGTAAATTGACTTCCACATACCGCAGGACTAAATAACAATCTAATTTCCATAATGCGTAAACGACACCACCTTTTTCCCGGTGCAGCGCATCATTCTTTCCACCCCTGCTGCACCTTAGCTGAATTGTGGCGAGTAATAAATAATAATTCAATTATTAGTTGTGGATTTGTTAAATTAGCAAGTTTCCCTCTGAAAAGTTTTCAGGAGCAGGACCAGTCGGATTGCCTGTAATCATCGTTCAGAGATAGAGATGAATAGTTGAAAGTCGCGTTGTTGCTTCTGAATCAGTAAAATCACGTGAATGAGAATGTGCATGTCGCAGATCCAAGGAAACCGATTAGCTACCGTGGACAATGTCTGAGTAGACCGAAGAACAGGGAACACTGTGCAAAGACACTGTAGACCAAATTAGATAAAGCGTGTAGACTGACCAACGTGGCAGATCGATAGATACGGGCAAAGTAAAGTGACGCAACGAACTACCCTTGACATTCGGCAACAGCTGATGCAATTTGATCCAGATTTAGGGCTTAACCCTATCGGTCTTCTACCGTTGGACAGGTTCGTTCCTTAGGACACTGACCAGCTGTGTTGGACAATACACGGCTGCGGGTCGGAGGATTAAACTTCAGCTTAATTCGACGGATATTGCCTCTAACCTCCGCCATGGACACGTTGGACACGTACCATAGGCATCAGCACAAGGACCAGGACTGTAAGGGGCGTGAGATGAATATGTCACCCCTTAAATGACGCAGCAATCGCTGAAGATTCGATTGGTCATTTTTCAGTGCTAATTAAGGGATTTTCTTGCGTTCCAATCTCCCTGCTACTAATTATTCATTTTGATTCAATTGGTCATTTTACAAAGTGCTAATTAAGGAATTTTCTTGCGTTCCAATCTCCCTGCTACTAATTGTTCATTTTGATTCGAGAATTATCAAGTCTACCGCTTGAATGCAAAATGAATAACACGATAATACAACCTTGAAGACTTTGAAATCACAAGAAAATAATTATTGGAAGATAATTGATTTCCAATACAAATTCTCCGTAACTTAATTAACTAGATAATAGGGTAACATAAGATTGTTCATATCAAAGAATCAATAATTCTTGCTTTGTATCTTTGCTATGGAAAGAATAACTGATACATAAAACCCTGTTTCTCGTGGCAGTCAAATATCTTCTTGTCTATTTACACATCAACCTCTAAATCTATAATAGCAACATCCCCTATGCACGGTAAAAATAAACGTTAACCCCTTTGACTTATTTCTCAACTGTACTCGACAAAACTTTATCGTTAATAATTCAGTAGAAAAAGAAAAGGATTTTATACATATTCCCTCTACTACTACAAACGTTACAGATCAATACTCAAGTAACATTTAACTCGTGTTAAAAACAAATAAATGCCATTCAGGTTTGTCGAATTCAACTAAAAATGTTCAACACAAGTCAAACAGGCTATAAGACGTTAATTAAGATCCTAATGTATAGTGAAACGAAGTGATTAAAAAGATGATTTATAAATCTGTTGCAGTAGCGAAGGCAAATCCAAATTTGGGAGACTTCAGTGGCAGCACGATCGGTGGCAGCAGCGCGTCCACCTATACCAACACGACGAACGGTCCCGTGAACTGCCTTACCGGCGGTCCGTTGGCCGGTATCGCAGGCGGCTTCAATAACACCGGCCGGACGAACTTCACGAACAAGCAACTCACCGAGCTCGAGAAGGAGTTCCACTTCAACAAGTACCTGACCAGAGCAAGGCGCATCGAAATCGCGTCCGCGCTGCACCTAAACGAGACGCAGGTGAAAATTTGGTTTCAAAACAGGCGGATGAAGCAGAAGAAGAGAATGAAGGAAGGATTGATACCGACCGAGAACACCACGGTGGCGCAGCTGGGCGGCGCCAGGAGCAACAGCAATTCGCCGACCAGCTCCTCGAGCCACGAGACCGGCAGCCTTGGTTTGTCGAATTTTACCAGCGACAACAGCAGGGAATCACCGCCCGCTTCCTCGAAAGATTGACGCGTTCCTTGCTGCAGCAACGAACGAATTTATGGTTTAAGATTCCACGACGATTGGTGAATCAAGAGAGAGAGAAATGAACGACGACGAACCGTATTTCAAATCTCCCGCCGTTGCGAACGGTGGCTCGAATCCTGCTAAACCGAATGCTGCAGCAAAATCAATTGAAACGTTTAACCCTCAAGATCCTGGAAATTAATTGTCAAAATTACTCGACTGTAGAATAGAAATTCAAAGGCGTATGTACCGATCGTATGAATTATTTATTTTTATTCTTCTTTGTTTGTTTTCTTTTTTTCT